AAAGGCTCCAATGCTGCCGATTCTATTTGTGTCGTTGGCACTAACAAGAGAATTCAGAATTTACAAGACATAGATGGCGTTGAAAGAAGCTGAAATAATTTGCAAGACTAATGTAGGAAGACATTAATCTGATGCTGCTCAGGAGTTTGAGTCGGGCAATGATGGGTGAACAGAGGCTTATGATGACTCCCCTGAAATGCCATCCACACAAATGCTATGCATATTTAGCACATGGCTTAACAGTGCTATGATATACAGTTATGGCCAAAAACTAGCTAAAATACGGGAAGAATTAGTCACCTATAATTATGCTTGTGTGCAGACGTGCACTATTTTTTCTGGCCACTTGGCCAATAAAGGTGCTTTTTTTTTCTGGCGAGTCCTTTCTTTCGGACTTTCGATTATTTAGATTTTTCAACAGTTGTTGTCTAATGAGAACAAACAGTCAGCGACTTATAAATGCCATAGCTACATAACATTACATATGCAGCAAAACATATTACATACGAACACACAGATAGTTAACAATGAAGTGAATGCACGAATTGAAAGTTTACGGGTTTAAGAAAATATAGAACTATCAATGATACAAAGCATTCCCTTTTTTTTTGATGTAGCGAGCTTCAGTGCAAGTAACATACTTACCCTTGCTTCTGTAAAAAATCATTGTCTTACAAAATCATGAGGCAAAGCTGTAGCAGTAAAGTTCAGATGAGCAACAAGATTTCCTCCAATTCCAATATCATTTACGTATTATGCATATTTCACAGTTGCTCAATTATTCAATGCGCAGTTTGCCCGATGCAGGTCTTGCTAATAGAATGAGGTATGGTTTGTATCAAAGGTGCTGCGCAGGATACAGCAGACTCCATGCTTGATTTTTGTCTGCTACCCCCCCTACTGCATATACAGAAGCACTGCTTAGCAAGCTTGTTTCACACAGAAAAAGCCATAGAGATATATATCGTGGGTGCTAATCACTCTATTGAGTTGACATATGACAGTATAAAACTAAGGCGCCACAACTGGCCTGAAAGTTTAGTCACACACCACCCACTTGATTTTTTTTAAATCACGGCTTTGGTAACCACCGTTACGAGCAGTATAGTGTAGCTTGCAGCCAAAACATGATGTAATACCCGACTGTTAAAGCTCTACTGCTTTTTCCACTCACACAAGCTATTGAAGACATCAACAAAACATTTGACGAAGAAGGATAAATGAAGGCTAAATGCATGCAACAATTTTAATAAAACCACCAAAAAAGCACAAACACACTCCAAACAACTGTGCAGTCGCATCAGAATAAAAGATTATGGGATGACACTTCCTGGGAAATGCCATGGTTCTTAAATTAAGATAAACATGTGACCACAGCAGCCATATTATGTGGAAGTATGCTTCAAAGCACTGCATTGTTGGGCTAGTTAGTTTACATTTGGCCTAGAGGAGCGAAGGCTTGGAATCAAAGGAAGACTAATTAGAAGACACTCAACTTCCACCCGAGTTAATTTTGAAAAGTATTTCAGCGGGAAAACAAATGCGCAGGCACAGTCACACCCGATTTTCACTGAACCAACAACATATATCAGGATAAAAAAACATGATACCATGAAGAGGGCATGCTTATTCAGTTTTAAGACTTAACTGTGTTCAAGGTAGTTTATTTCATTTTATTATTTTATTCACTTTACCTTAGAGGTTCCCGTAGGGACATTGAGTAAAAGGGGCGACAAAAGAAAACAAAATATAACAGAGGCAACAGAGTACAAAATATTACAATGTGGTGATATAACATAACTTACAGAAGAATGGCATGAAAAAACAATGTAGTTACAATGGTGGTGTCTAATACAAAATTGTATAAATGGCAGGCACTCAAAATAAATGGTGCCAAAACATGAGCACGAGGAACAAAGTCAGAACACATTTGCAGATATGTGCATGTACACAGAGCCGCATTTTTATGGAAAGTGATGCGGGTATATTTGGTTCCGGAATAGTGTATGGTCAGTGATTGAAACTAATGTGTTAGGAAGATCATTCCATAGTGTTACGCCTGTGGGCAGTGCTGATAAGTTTAATGCTTGGGTGCGGCCGTAAATGCTTTTGAAACTTCGCTGGTTGTTTAGTCGATTGGACATGCGCACGGGAGTTTGACAATGATCGTGGATCATTGTCAGATCCACCGATGATGCACTAATGAATGCATCTGCGGCAATTTTAATCTTTCTCGCTTGCAAGGTTTTGCGCTCACACCTGCCCTTAGCCCTACCCTTGACATTCGCTTTATCTAAAAGTGCATTGCAGCCAAATGTACTGCAGTGCGCAAGAATGTGTGTCCCATGGTCTCGAGCATTCACTAAAGCTTAGGTGCCCTCCTAGTCCATCGTTAGGGCATCGGCCTGTTTGGCCGACAAAAGCTTTGCCACAACTGAGTAGTATTTTATATACCACTTCGGTAGCACAGGGGACAAATGGCTTTTTATGCTTTCTTCAACAGACTTCTTTCTCTGTTCCGTCACCTGCAATAGCGCGTAAATGAAAAAGCTTTAAGGGTGCTCAGAAGACGAGGTCTTTGTTATGCTTTGAACATTCGCTTAAGGTTGTGTGAAATCATGTGAATCTAATAAATTGCAACAAACTAGTTAAAATTCTGTCGTGTTGGCACGCTCAGTGAAGTCTCTATTTGAGAAGGGAGGATGCTATGGCAACGAGCAATGTGGAAGAAAAACTTGAAGTTAGAAGGTGTAAAATCTGGCAGTCAAAGCTAAGGCTGTCCTTATGATAGCATTACTTGGTCAGAGTCCTGTTGAGGCATGCAGAAGCGATCCCTGTTTTCACCAGTATAGTATAAAAGAGTCATATGGGAGGATAGCTTTTTTTTTACCGTGGCTGAAAATGCCAGCAAATTCCGTCGTCACAATTGAAAAAACAATGCTAAATCAAAAACTGGATTGTACTGTTGTTGGTTGAACAGTGCTTTAAGCAAGATTAACCCTCATTAACCTCTACAATGGATCTTTCCGACAATAATGCGATCCGGAAAACATGGGTTGACCTCATTTCCTGGGAGTATAGGCCACAGTCAAAAAAAGCTATCTTCCCATTTGACTCTTTCCAAACTCTACTGTTGAAAAGGCAAATTGCTTCTTCATGCCTCAACTCTGCTCTGACCAAGTCACGCTCTCTTCAGGTAAACTTCAGCTTAGACCACCCGATTTAGTGCCTTCAAACTTCGGATTTTCTTTCCACATTGATCGTTGCTATAGCATCCTCCCTTCTGAAGCCGATTGCGGCTTCACCCAGCATGCCTACACGACAGAGGTCCAACAAGTGGAACAAGTTTATTGTAATTCCCTACAATTACATGATTTCACGCAACCTTAAGAGGATAGCTTCAAAGCAGGGCACGGACTTCGTCGTCATGGCACCCCAAAAGCTTTTCCCTTTGTATACTTCTTGCAGGTGAAAGAAGAGAAAGAAGTGTGTCGAAAAAAGCATAAGAAGCCATTTGTCCGCTGTGCTAAGGAAGTGGTATATAAGATACCATTCAGCAGCGGTAAAGCATACATCACCCAAACAGCCCGATGCCCTTACAATTAACTCAGAGAGCACGCAACTACGGTGAATGCTCGACACAATGGTGGGCACCTTCCTGCGCATTGCAGTACATTTGGCTGCAATGCAGTTTTCTAGGAGGCGAATGTCAAGGGCAAAGGTAAAGGCAGGTGTGAGTGCAAAATATTAGAGGCAGGAAAGATTGAAATTGCTGCAGATGCATGCATTAGTGCATCATCGGTACATCTGACAATGAAGGAAATAAACTTTCTTGAATGCAGTTAGATAAAAAAACTGATTAAGCATGCCCCCTTCATGGTATTGTACATTGTTTACATATTTTTTTCCCATATGTATATTGTTGGCTCAGAGAAGATCAGGTGTGACTGCGCCTGCACATTTGTTTTTGCGCTGCAATACTTTTCAAAATAAACCCAGGTGGAAGTCAAGCGTCTTCCAGGTAGTCTTCCTTTGATTCCAAGCCTTCGCTCTTCCAGGCCAAATGTGAACTAACTAGCCCAACAATGCAATGTTTTGAAGCATACTTCCACATAAAATGGGTGCTGAGGCCACATGTCCACCTTAATTTAAGAACCACGGCACTTCCCAGAAAGAGTCACCCCATAATTTTTTTCTGATGCGAGTGCACAGTTGTTTGGAGTGAATTCATGTTTTCTGGTGGTTTTATTAAAATTACTGTGTGCATTCAGCCTTGATTTATCCTTGTTCGTCACATGTTTTGTTGATGAGCCTAGCTAGCATGAGTATTTTTTGTCACAGCAATTTTCTGGCACTTGGGCCTTGCAACAGCTATACCAATTCCATTTTTTGGCCTTATTCCCTTTGAACTTCTTGCTTCAGTGCGTTCAGGGGGGCCACTGCACCTTCGGCAAAGCTTCTTTTCATATTCACTGCATTTAAGCACTTTTCCAGGTTTCTGACTCTTTTATTTCAGCAGTTTGTAATGTGGCCCATCTTTTGTCAAAAGCAAATGATTTCAAACGTGAGTCGAATTGAAGCTACCATTTTTCCGTGCAGATCAACCACCAGAGCAGTTACATTTTCAGATTGGGTCCTTGAAATCTTCTACAAATCTTCGTCACTTGCATTGTGAAGGTGAAATTTATGACTGAATTCAAAGCGTATTCACAATTACAGACGTCTTCAGGCAGTAGTGAATTTGAACTAGTTATCTTGCTTTCACGAAGAGATTTTCTTCTGGCAATCACAGAACCTAATTCTTGTAAATTTCTTATGCTTCAGTGCCAATTATTGGTTAAAATAGGCACGATTTCTCCTATTCTGTTGTGTCATTTGCCCTGAAGCTCCAAATGCTCAACAAAAGATTGAAAGCTCTCGACTACAGAGTTCAATTTACCTGATCTGCAGACAAGAGCAGGACTTTGCAGGAGAAACAAAAACGCTACTTGCCGAACTTTCGGATTCCTAGCTGGTCTTGTGGTTATGGCACAGGCGATGTGCATATGAAGCCACCACATCCTTGTGGGTATTGCCCAGCAGGCCCTGCGACACAGGTCCCACCCTGATTGCCAGATCAATTCTTTCACACTATCAGCAATGGCTCTGCAGTGAAAAGGCAAATATTTTATTGACCAGAAATGTTTCTTTATTTATAGGCAATATTATGACACACATAAGGCCATGTGCAGCTATCAATCTACCTATACTTTTTGGCAAAAAACGTCATACAAAAGCTTCCACCACGACGCTAACATCTCTTTCACTTTGCCTATAATTATTTGCTATTCCTCTTTTGTTTACTCATGCTAAATTTGATTCAGTTATGCTTTATTAAGCAAATGGGTTAGCTCATTTGGTGTATTTTTATTAGGTTTCTTTCATACACACTGTGACAAAAATATATATGAGACTCGGGTACAGAAAATTCGATTCATAATTGCAAGGCCGCATCAAATCTTCAATGGCGTTTGGAAAGCGGACATACAGTATCCATACAGCAAACTCGTTAGATGTCAACAAATATTTTTACATCCACTGTTAGTAAAATCTTGCTTAAATATTTTGTTCACCACACAGATAATCGGGAAGAATTTTATTCAAGCCATGTCTTGCGGGTGCAGGCCATTTCAGGAAACCAATGATAAAAATATGAGAGTCTAACTTTTTCAAAATATCAAATAGTTTGACTACATTAATTGCTTTGCATTTCATAGTGGCAAAAACCTATACTTGATACACAAATTAAGTGAAAAAGACTAATATACCAATGCTTTTTTTTGCATTTATATTGTTTTATGTCCTAATATTATTGAGCTTTATTCAAGATGGGCCCAAACTAGGTTTCACCTGAACACTTGTTGCTAAGTGCCGAAGTCCTTGAAAGAAGAATGTCGAATAGCAGTTGAGGCAATAAATTGAATTCCATGAAGGTTCATAGGTGTTGAAACAACAAAGAAAAGATAGGTAATGATAACATAATCAAAGCTCAACAAAGTTGAGGGCATCGAGCCAGAGGTAGCAGCACAGCAGGGACTACTGCAGAAAATAATTTACCAAGTCTCCTGCTGCTTCTTCACCTGGTACAGTGATTTTGAATTGTTTGTAAGCTCTATACTGTGCCTAAAATATTTATTTGAAAAAGGAGAGCCACGAGGAAGCCAATCGAGACCCTTGCAATGTTCACTTCGCAGCTGAATGCATTTTAATCATGCAATACTATCTTGGGCTCAGTGCACATTCACAATAACACGGTGTTGGAGAAAACATTGTACAGTATAGTTTGGAAAGATTTTCACCTAGTTTTTGAATGCTAGTGCTCACCTCTATATGCATGAGCTGTGCTCAAAATTTTCTTTCTGTACTTTATCATCACACAGTACGACAAGCTAACTTATTCACAAATCCTGCCGATTTCTCACACTTTTCTTATCACTGCTGCACTCACAACAACACATGATAGCCACAGCTTGAAATAAATGAAAAGAAACATCAGTAGGCACATGACAACTAATGCATACTTTACCACAAAAGGGAACAGCCATAGGTTAAGTGAACTTTGGCTATGAGTCTGCATCTTCTTTCTGAAAGGTGCGAAAGTTCAGTGCAATTATATTTTGTTGCAGCAATCAGTTGCATGCCAGCTAGTATTAAATGAATGTGACTTTAAAAAACATGACAAAATATGAATTATGACTGTAACAAACACATACCATGCAGAATTCAGCTGCGAGTGCTTACTGCACTGCTTAGGCTGCTATGATGAGCTCAGACGCTTATAAAGACGTTATTGAATGTAGCACCAGCCTAGTACAGCTTGCAACGTGTCTTAAACATACAGGCGTAAGCAAAAGTGTGCAGACAAAGAGTTGTGTGGCAGAATGCATCGACGTGCCATTTCTGCATACTGCCTGCTGCAGTGTGCGTGCCTGTCCAGTCGTAATCAGGTGGCCTCGTACAGCACTTTGTTTGACGAAGTTACGGCGCTCATAGCCAAAACGACCACTGAGTGTTGCTTTCTTTGCTCCTTCCAATCTATGCCGCTCTTTCACACAGCACCTTAGGCAGTGCCAATTGAAGTGCCGAGCGCGTAGCTCTTTTTTTTTACCAGTTAGCCTAAATAAGCATAGCTAGCACCATATAACCAATTGAAGCCAAGCATAAAAAATTAAATTTCCTTGGCCCAGCTTGCCCTTGTCACATTAATCCAAGTTAAACTTGCCTTGTTGCGCCAAACTGTAGTAAAAACTACTCAAGCATAGTGTAGCATAATATAACCTGTAAAAGCCAAGCATAAGCAGATTCAATTAATCTAATTTTAATTAGGCAAAGTCGTTTGCTGTTTTCGTGTTAATGCATGTAACGCTTAAATGAGCCGAGTGGGTCAAGTTAAGTATACCTAAACCGAATTAGGCATAATCAATACTGGTATCACTTCATTTAGCCGAGCATAATTAGCCTCGATAAGGCACACCTAAACAAGGTCTAATAATCTAAGTCGAGTTCCCCATGAGCCAGAGATGAAAAGCCCAGGAAGAGGCTGCTCGCAGCTCGAATCATCGTAGCTAAGAATCAGCCTCTCTTACCACATTGCTTTTAGAAGAAAAAAAAAAAACTGAACTTGAACTTGCGGAAAACATATTCTTTATGGTTAATTTTAATCAGATGAGTATTATTAAACGAACGCATTCTGAGTGATCGCATGCTACAGCAACTCATAAGTTTGCTCTGCATGAAAGAAATTTCGGGCCGAATGCTCCACGCCGTCGCTCGTTACACCGAGCGTTAGCAGCACCAAATAGCACACTAAAGCAATGCGAGGTTTTTCATGATCTCAAGTGGCGTTACGAATACCCCACGGTGGCCTTGTCAACAAAACTGCACATTTGCATGGCACACGTTTTGTATGTATGGTCATTCCTAATTTTTCTTCCCCTCGACCGAAGTTATCAAGAGCACGCGCTTGCAACGCACATGCCGCATTCACACTTGAGAAGTAGGTGCCTAGCCAGAATTGAATTTTTTTTTTTCGCGGCGGGAGGGGGGGCACTTTTCTAAAATGACCATTTTCAAGCTCTCCATGCCAACGACAAAAATTTGAGAGGAGATGGGGACCACGGGCCCGGTGTGCCACCCCCTGGCTACGCCCGAAACGAAAACACTAGAGCGGCCGAAAACCACGTCCGCACGCGTCGAAAATGTTCGCGTTTGTAATGGGACCTGGGAATAATGCGGCCGCCACTGCTTTCGCGAATTAATTCGAGTTTGCCTGCTTTCTGCGCGCTATGTTCCATAACGAATTCCACTTTGCACGCAAAGTACTGTAAAGACACAGCCAGCACTTTTTGAATCTTTGTTTGGGGAGACATACGCCTACAAAAACGGCGCGAGCGAATGCACCGGCAGCCTCGGCGCCGGATTCAACCGGCTGCGCACAAAAACGAGACGCGTTTGGGCATGCAGACTCGCTGCTGCTGCACCGTCTACTTCAAGTGTTCTCGGCAATCGTAATGCAAACCAGGCTCTCAATGAACGCGTCCTCGTTGAGGCCGTTCAGCTTCGCCGAGCTGCACTAGTTGTCAATTAGAGCCTTTGCAAGCCACTGCCGACGCTTTCGCCGCCATGTTGCATTTGACGCCGGCTATCCAGATCACGTGGTTTTTAGCTAGGCGGCCGTGGATCGAAAGGAGGGTCCGCTTTTGCGTGACGGGAAAATCGGACCGATTTCTTTGTTCCGGCTTCGCGGCGTAGGTTTACGGCGGCTTAGGCGGCGAAGCGAGTGAATTCGCGGTGAGTTTTGCCGCTTTCGCTTCGGAGAGAATAAATGTCGAATTTGAACCCAGGGCGAGCCTTCTACCAACTGATGGGTTGCGCAGCGCGCACACATACGAACAAATAACGCACAAAGCTCATTCGGATTTACTTACCATGTGCCCTCCGCTTGAAAATTTGACAACACCGACGACTTAGTCCCGGCCGCCGCTGGCTGCCTCGACGAACAGAAGGTAGAGGCACAGAACGGGGTAGTACCGAAGCGACGCACTTTCCCGCGCTCCGAAGTGCACAAGATGGCATAGTCCGGACAACTTTCTCCTCCGCGCGTGTGTTTCGTTTTTGATACGCCGGGTCGTAAGGCGTGGTTTATGAACTTTTTTAAGAGCGTCGGCGCGGTGCGGGCTATTTCAAACTTGCCTACTGAAATAACTCTTGCGACGTTGACGCTGAGGCTTATAACGATCCTTCTCGCTTGTTTGTTCTTGTCGAAATGGGCGTATTTATATACAGCCTTCTTACCCACGCCATTTTTTTTTTCGTTTTATTTTTCAGTCACTTCCATTTCAGACTGGTTTAACTCTCATACTTTACCAGTTTTGATGATCATGGTAAAACAATGGTTTCAGCCCATTTCACCTCCTTTCATGGGAGTTCGTATTTCGAAATGAGTGGAAAAAGCGCACATAACATGCTTAAAACGCCCTTATGGGCTTATTTTAGTTTACAGTGCTCGATTTCACTGGTGATAATGGTCCCCAAAAAAGACAGCTTCTATCGGCTGTGTGTGGACTACCGCCGGCTGAACGAGGTCACGAGGAAGGATGCCAATCATATGCCTAAAGTTGACTCATTCGTGGCCACTCTAGGCGGCACCTGCTGTTCCAGCACCTTGGATGAAAGCCGTGGCTACCTGCGGGTTAGAATTGAGCCGGCTGGCGTGGAAAAAAACTGCGTTCACCTCTCAGAGATCGTCTGTACGAGTTTACACGCATGTTCTTTGCCTGTTCTATAGCTGCTGCTTCGTTCCAGAGACTAATGAACCACGTTCTCTTGGTCACTAGTTGATCATTCACGATGGCGTTTCTCAAAGATATTGTTATTTGTCGAACATTCTAGGAGCCCTTCCACTACTTCGAGAATGTCCTTGGTAGGTTACGTAAAGCCTGGTTGACTCTAAAACCGAAGAAAGCTCAAAGAGCTGAGACTCGCACCTCTCTATTTGGCGTTACCATCGAGAATAGTCGCGTTCTGCCGGACGAGGAGAAGGTACCCGATGCCGGTGAACATTCAGGGCCTGGGTCGCTTTTTTGGCATGATGAACTGCTACAGACCGTTCATCCTAAACTGCCTGGACCTGCAAGTGCCATTGACCGCAGTGTTGAAAAGTCGGCACTTTAGAGTGGGTGCCCAGAGCAAGAACAAGCATTTAGGGTGCTAACCGAAGCTCTAGTGGCCGCATCCCAACTGAAGCTGCCTTACCTCAACATAGACTGCGTTGTCCAAGCCGACACGAGTGACTTGGGTCTCGTGGTGGTGCGCGTTCCGGAGCACGACAGCATCCCCAAGCCCGCCGCCTTTGCGAGGCGTTCCCTAAACGCCGCCGAGTGCAATAACAGCGTCAATAAAAGGGAGTTCTCGTTATAGTTTTTGCTCTGCGGAAGTTCGACTGCTACGTCGATGGCGCGTGCCAGTCCTGGTGGAAACTGACCACATAGCACTGACCTGACTTAAGCACTTGCGCGAGCTCTCGGGCCGCTTCACGCGCTCAACGTTGACCTTGCAGCGGTACCACTTTGCAGTGCGTTACCAAAAAGGGAGTTCCGTGTCGTGGCTTATCCCTTGTCGTGATCCCTCATTTTGTCGTTTTACACCGGTGTCCGCCCCTCTGGAAAGCAATCACACCTAGCAGACTCCGATGCATCTGGCTCCAATGGGTGTAACGGCGTGAACACCGAAGGTGAAGTCACTTTAGAGCCGACAGCATCGGTTGAAGACGCATACCTAGTAAATGCGGTGACGGCGATTGATTGATATGTGGGGCTTAACGTCCCGAAACCACCATATGATTATGAGAGACGCCGTAGTGGAGGGCTCCGTAAATTTTGACCACCTGGGGTTCTTTAACGTGCGCCCAAATCTGAGCACACGGGCCTACAACGTTTCCGCCTCCATCGGAAACGCAGCCGCCGCAGCCGGGATTTGATCCCGCGGCCTGCGGGTCAGCAGCCGAGTACCTTAGCCACTGGACCACCGCGGCGGGGCAATGCGGTGACGTCGTACGGTGTCATCTTCAGCAGAGAGGACCTGCTCAAGGCACGACATAACGATCCGTAATATCAGCAAATTGTTGACGGGCTGAAAGAGCTGCGCTCCCAATATGAGGGGTGTGGTAAGCCGCTGGGCACAGTCAGACAGCTAGTATTGGTGTCTGTGCCGAGTGCCGTGCACAGGCTGGTATTGCTGCGGGCACATTCGATTTGTAGTTGCTACATGCTGATGGGGTTCTGCGCTACGTGCCGTCTGAAAAAGCTCCCCATAAGTTTTTCAAGAGGGTGATACCCTGCAGTCTAAGAGAAGCAAATTAACCTTCGGCCTTTTCATAACTCGCGATTGGCTGGGCATGCGACTGGCCTTGAGACTTTTCAAAAGCTGGGCCGCTCTGCTACCTGGCTCAGCATGAAGCGCGATGCCCTTCACTATGCCCGCTCATGCTGTGCGTGCCAATGAGTGAAGCATCACGGAGACATGCACCCTATCGACAGCCAAGAAACCTGGCGAGTCGTGGCCTGTGACATTAGGAGACCCTTCCCAAGAAGCCGGAGAGGCCACGTTTTTCTCCTGACCGTCACAGATCACTTCACTTAGTGGGTCGAGCTGTTTTGCCTTCGGAAGTTGATGCAACGTGCAATCTCGGACAAGCTGACTGAGGTCAATACCCACTTAGGCTTTCCGGCGGAGTTATTCACGGACAATTTGTCCTATTTCATGTCCAATGAGTTTATGGATGCAAGTGCTGCTTTCGGCATCAAAACCGCAATACAACCACGTATTACCCTTTGGCCAACCCAGCTGGATGGATAAACTTGAAACTCAAGCCCTTGCTGACAGCCTTTGCAAAGCAGCACATGGATTGAAATGCTTGTGTTAAAGAAATAGGCTTCTCCTTCGGGGCTATGGGGAACCATTCGACCAGTACACGTCCGCTTTCAATAAAGGACCTGGATATGAGCCAGAGGCATCAATGTAGATTTGGCGATGCAGTTGTGTACGAGTATGCAATGAACGCTCGTGGAAATCTGCGCGTTTCCTCGTTCCACTCTTTCCTTCGTTAGACCATAGAGAAATAAAAAAAAGGTTAAGAGTGGACACTCCCGTAGACCCCAGCGGCGCAATCGACCCCAGCACACCTGGTGGTTGGTTAGAGCAAGTGGCGTGCGCTTCCTGTTTCGGTTTCACTGGCGCAAATTTTGAATTACTTTGCATAAACGACGTTTGGCTATGACGAAAGTTCATGATTTCAGACCACTTTTCATCGCCCAAATGGATAGTTTTCGTAGGCCGTTTTGATTTAGCGATTCCCTGTTTTGTTTTGTTCAGTGATTCGTGCGAACTGGTCGTGACGTAATTTTTATTTCGATTAAGTTATAATAAAAAGAGATGCAGGTAATGATAATTCACTACGGTTTTATTCATCGCGCTTGTGTTTTTCTTTTGGAACAAGTGATCAATGTATACATCAGTCAAAGAGACAGAGTATCCGCAATGTTTTATTCAAAGGCAAGGTAGAATCTGACAATATAAAAAGCACAATATGACAAAGGTAGACAACAAATGCATCTAAACTTACAAATAAATTGTAACAAATATTGTAACAAATACAGGGAGAACACAGACAACGCACACATCGCTAGAGTTGGCAGAAGCCGAGAAGCTGGTGAAGTATGACACACCGGGCCAGTGGGTAAGTAATGATCTATGGCAAAAGCACAGCTCACAATGCTGATGAATAAGGAAGAAGTGACATACACAGCTATGAAGTCGCGAATCACGCCTGGGGTTAACCGAAATAATGCATAGAAAAAAAGAGCGCACAGAAACCGCACGACACAATATAGCACAAAGGCAAAGGTGCAGTGTGCTGGCTGTGCTTAAGAACAGCTAGCCCAAAATGAAAAAAGCAGACTTGATGCCTGCTTGTCCTCAGAAAGGTGGGGTTTTGCAGCTTGCTCACTACGTGAAAGACAAACTTTATGCTACAACACTGGCAGGTCTTGTGGCTCTTCTTATGCGTCGCCTGCATCAAAAACTTAAGATCCCAAGTGATTTGCGTCTGGGTGTTGCTGTGACGCTTGCGAGCTAAAATAGATTGTAGTCATCACTTATCCAGAATTTTGGACCTTAATTGGTGCTACGAGAGCGGTATTACATGGCTAATAAATAGCAGAAGGAAACCCCTTTGGCTCATTATTCTTCACAAAGGCTCTACATCGTACGTTATCACTCACAAGCTATATAAAAATAAAATGGCAGCGTCAGCAGCCCCATCAAACGCTACAAGTTTGGGTATTATTTTGAAAATTTTGATGGGCGAGATGAGGAGGTTGATGAGAAGCTAAAATACGAAAAGCGTGATAACGTGAACCGTACCCACTTCATACTGTGTTCCTTACCCGCTCGAAGACATTTCAACAAGTGGTTTCGTTATCGATATATTACTTGAGCTGGAGAGATAAAGCATACACAGTGTCCAAGCGACCCAGAGTAAAGTGTACAGTTCGCCCGCATTTGCTACAAAAATACAGACAGGATACCCAACATTCTTTTTAAAGTTATGCAAATCACTTCGAGCGAATACACAGTGTCCCTACTCCTCATAGCGGGTAACCAAAACAATGTATGCAACGAAGGAGTGGTTAGTCCAGTTGAACTGAATATAAGCTTATAAGACCATAATGAAGTCTGCTGTAACGAAGGAATAACATAACAAAGCTATTGCAGGATTCGGCTCAACTCGAATACTTTAGTGTAAACCCACAGCTAATTGCTAACGTTTGAACTTGTCAAGCTGTATGCGTGAGATTGAAGACTGGAACCTAACTGTATTTAAGTTTCGGTTCACAAAACGCACATGCCAACATAAACGAACCCGGCAAAACATTTTTAGAAACTTCGCGCGACACCCAGCAGAGCAGAAATGAAAATCGCCAACACTTGACAGATGGTGATACAAAACATCGCACACTTTCAGGTGATGTGCAGTGGCCTCAATCATGGCAAGAAAGTGAGATTCGAGTTGTT